ACGGACCCTAACAGCAATCAATTCGAAGAAGAAATATAAACACTCTAAAATACACAAGATTTATAGTAATTCACTTCAATGTGAGACTACATCTCTCCCTCCGCTACAGTAATTCACTATGATTAAAAAATGTTTATAAGAGAAAATTAAACACCTATGTTTTTACAATAATAATCATAAATTCTAATGAAGACTCCCTATTTTAAGGTAAATAGGGCAAAATCAAATTTTACAATTACTCCAATTCATCAATAGAATTTTATAAGAATACACATTCCTAAACAACTTAATGAAATTTTGGTTGCGACTGCTTCCGCGAAATGAGAATAATTAGGTTTCACAATTTAACATATACCCTTTTAAAGGTAACTTCCAGTCATGTTCAAACTCAACACGTCACTCCGAATACATATTGATACTTGGGTGGTTGACAAATGAATATTGAGATAATGATTTCGTGTAGCTGTAAAAACATATAATTGAGTCACTATAAAATAGCAGCGGATATGCGAGTCAAAGATAATTTGGATGCCATTTGCCATCTAGAAAAGCCAACACTTTCTAGCACGGGAAAAAAAACAACGTGCTTAACTCTTTCAACACGATCAAATTCTTCGTTTTAATTCTTAATCATCCTTTAGTCATTGCTTAGAATTAAATTTTCTCGTTGGATACCCTTTACAAGAATGAATCTGGAAGCTCACAAAATTAAATTATTACATTTTTATAGTTTTGAAAGTATCTAGACAATTAGAAACCTAAGAGGATGTTAGACAAACTTCAAAAATCTACTTATAAGTTAGAGAAAAAATAATTCATTTTGTTAGTCAATGTATTTCTCACATTACTGTCAAAATACGCATGTTAGCTGTGGATAATCATCAATTGAATCGACGGTTCACCATTTGGTCACTCCTTCGAATAAAGTGCCCATAGTTTGATTTCTTTTCCTAGCCATGCACATGGTTTGTTTGTTGAATGTGACAAATTTGTTCAAACTCCCTTCACAACCCGAATTGTTTTGCAAAATGTGCTTACAAAAGTTATTTTGGAAAATGCATGCAAAATAATTGTTTATTGTACTCCAAATTTTGTCGCTGCTGTGTTTAGTGATTCGAGTCAAGTATAAATTTCGTTGTAGCTCAAAGCCACTTTACAAAATTCATGGGAAAGTAAGCGTAAACATAAACTCCTAAAGAAACACTCGCTCAAAAAACCAAATAAATTATAAATACATATGCGAATTGAGAAATCCTAAGTAAACATTAATCTTCTCATGTTCTTGGAGAGAGTTGTTTTTTACGATGGTTTTGGGGGATCTTGTTAAGAACTTGGTGAAGCTTGGTTGCTGTTCTCATGGAGGAGTGAGTTGAACATGCGCGCCAAAGAGGTCTTTTAAGTGCGTTTGGTCGAACCATTTTGAACCCAACGGAGTTGTATCAACAAGATTGCAATTTTGTCTCGCCAAGATTGCTTTTCTACGGATCGAGCAAAGTGCGATTTACGTCTAAGCTAAAATCCTAATAGTTACTAACAAGCAAAAGGTAATCATGTGCATATGGTGAATTGATAAATTCTGTCCAAATCGTATCAACTAATTTGACCTTAATGATTCTATCTCGGTAATTTTTTGAATAAAATTGTACGAACCAAGATAGCATAATGATACACACTCACCAACCCCTTTAGCGGATTTACATGGACCATGGGTGGTCAGTCGTCCTCACAGAAATTTTTGTTTTTATAAATTTACATTTTTACACTTTACCTCTATTTGCACGACTTTTACTCACTTTTTTTGCCTCCGACAGCTATCAAACCTTGAATCCAACTCTTCTCCCAATACACAAGTTTGCTACTTTTACCAAATATCAACCTTTTTCTATTCAGCTCGCATGCACCGACGTTGAAAGCTGACCACATTTTTCTCTGCCTCAAAGCCAGACTTCTTTGCCCTCAACCCACGGTTTGAACCACACCATTGGATTGGATATTCGACTGTTAAACGATAGTCTAATTATATATATTGAGGACGATATATTTGACAATATTGATATCGATATAATTATACAATGATTTTCAAGTATGAAAATGCATAGGAAACCGTTGTAGTAATGTATTAAATTATCTTTATTAACGTCTGACTCATCACTGACCAACCAAACAATATTCTCCAAGTATTCAAGTGATGGACCCACAAGTTAAATTATAGGACTTTTTAATATGTTGAAGTCAAAAAAATAATTTTTAGATAAATTAATCTGTAAAAATAATATATTTATTTTATAGCACTATAATTTTCTTTTTTACCACAATTATGACCAAATTAATGACTTCTCTTTTCTATATTTGACTTTTCTCTCATTACATATAAATATATATATAANTCAGTCATTTTATATAATACTTCTTCGTACTCGAAGACAAACTAAATATGACCATTATCCATCACATCAACATTTAAATTTAAATTTTTTATCTCTTATGTGGGTCCCAATAACGACTATATTTTTCATTCTTATTCTACAATAATTTGGCTCAAACAGGGCCTGATGAAATGAGTTTGTAAGTTTTTCAATTATCACGATAGTTAAATGGAAAATTGTAATCAAACGACATAAATGAGGAGTGTAATAAAAAACTCGAAAGTAGATTGAAGTTCGATGAGAGTTCTCATAAAATATGAAAAATAATGTTACTTGTATATAAAGAGTTACATAATGGTTTACATACAAATGATGTATCAAAAAGAGTGTAGAAGTTTTATTTATTTATTTATTTCTTTTTTTTTTGAAGAAATTCTGATATAATAATATCTCACAACATTATGTGTATTTAAACCATTATGTAAACTTTTATGTATATGTAAAACAATCAAAATATGAAACAACAACAATTTACACATTTTATTTTGTCATTGTAATAATATATTGATATAGTTGAATGTTTCGATACACGTACTGATTCCTATCCTCCACCGTTTTATAGAAAAAATGCTGAACATTAATGAAAGAAAAAAAATGTACGTGCAAGATTGAAAGTTCGATGACTTTAGAGGTCGTCCTCACTTAACTAACTTAAACATGAACTTTAATTACAAAGAAATATTGCAAAGATTTAGTGTGAATGCATTGAAGCAAAAGAAGAACGATTATTGTTTTCTGAATATTGGAAAGAAAGTCATCCTAACAATTGTACTTTTGATCATAAGCTGATATGCTTCACTTGGGATTTGCAGCTTAAAATCCGGTAGTTGCTTTAAACAAAGAACATGGAAAATCTCACGTAAAACGATAAAGTTATTTTCTGATATAAATATCAAAATGAAAATTTAAAAAAAAAAAAAATTGTTGATTAGAAAACAATTATATTCAACAAAGAAATAATAAATGCTTTGAAATTTCCTACTATTGAACGCTTTCCAAAAAAATAAAATAAAATTTCTGCTAGGGAACAGTGCGAGTTGGTTTATTTTTGGGTTGGATCTTTCCTTTTAGGCTTGTTGACGTTCAGAATTATCCTAAGATGGTTCAGGTTGGGTTGGGTCGAGTTATGTATTGTAACCTAAACATAACTCGTCTTGATCGGTTTCTCTTAAAAACAACTCGTTAATAATCAATCTGTTGATTTTCATGGGTCAACTGTTTATATGCCATGTGCCAAGTCCTCGTATCGTGTTGAAGCAGACATATCATACCCAAATACAAAAGGAGAACTCTCGTGTGGAGACCAAGATCCAAGCAACAAAAACAAGAATACTAGGCCGGAGCAAAAATAGATAAATGATAATCGTGTCGATGCCAAGATCCAAACAACAAAAATAATAATACTAGGTCGGTGCAGTGCATTAATCGCATGAATTGACCAATCAACCGTCCCATATGATCCTTACCACTGTTAAGAATGCCACTGTTAAAAATTTTTCTTTGCTGTAAAAAAAAACTGTAAATGTAGCAAAGTTCAGTAAGAAATTCCCAGCACTCAGCAAAGAAAAACATGTAATTCCTTAAGATAGACGCCCTTTAGTCGACACACTTTTGTGGACTTCATCGATATACAATAATAGTAAATTTAATTAGTTGATATTTACTCTTGAGTAATTATCTGGAATCCTCAAAAGTCAGAATTGAGAACTTGTGTATTCTAACATTCCAAGTCAGAGTACCATTTTATTCAATGCGCAACTTATTGAGTGCATAAGTTTTTCTATAATTAAATTCCAATACGTATTCCACTTTTCTAATGCTCAATAATTTATTTTGTGTATGTTAAAGCATACGTATTCCACTTGACGGAGGAACGCTCGTTGCTTGAGTGTCGGTGTTTGACGCTGACACGTACTCGCCGCATAACATGTTTATATTTTGTGACACTTTCTTTATATTCTTCGGGCATGCCTGAGTCCAAAATATGAAGGATTACGTATTTAAGAAATTCTACTTGGAAAATCAAATTTAGGTAAGAAACTATAGATTTATGTAGAAAAATAGATCAGGCGTATATCAGCTCGTCCATAATCATTATGCATGTCATCTCTCTTTAAAGTAGAAAATGAAATTTAAGTTTGAAACAAATCGTTATCAATTATACAAATAATTTTTTGAATACGTGCCTTTGCCTTATATATGAGCTCACTTCCACAATTTTTTGTCTACATAAATGGTATTGACATATCATAAGGGATACTTTCAATTGACATAAAAAATTAATAAGGAATTAAGGATCAAGAATCAATTCATTTCGTCTTCCCCATGAACGCAAGCAATTACGATGGATAATCACCCAAAAAAAAAATTTAGAAAAACTGTAAAAATTGAATACTTCGTCTAAAAGTAATCTTTTTTTTTTGTTCAAACTTTTGAAAGTTCCTGTCTATTTTTCCTCATTCAGTGCTTATATATACATACATGCAGTGTATGCCATTTCATTCTTCAAGCAACAACTTTTCATTGCTCACACATATAGTACCCCTCTCTAATTATAATTGGCATTAAGTTAAAATGGAGTTTAGCAATGGAAATAGCCAACTTTTGTCCAAGCTAGCAACCAGTGATCAGCATGGAGAAAATTCTCCTTATTTTGATGGATGGAAAGCATATGATAATAACCCTTTTCATCCTACTCAAAACCCTAATGGTGTTATCCAAATGGGCCTTGCTGAAAATCAGGTATTATTGATGTTCAAGAATGATTTCTTAGCTTTTATTACAGAGGGGAAGAATTATATATGCCGTCTTGAGCTTACTTTCTGAGTTTTCTCATCATTATAATTTGCAGCTTTCTTTCGAATTGGTTGAGGATTGGATTAAGAAAAATCCCAGAGCATCGATATGTACTAGCGAAGGAGTTAACGCGTTCAAGGACATTGCCATCTTTCAAGATTATCATGGCTTGACGAAATTTAGAAATGTATGAAAATGCTAATAAGTATAGAGTCGTCTACTTTATTTTTTGTTGTTGTTGTTGTTCTGCTTGATTCATGACACTAAGGCGTTAGTTCACTTGATTTATTTTAGGCTGTGGCAAATTTTATGGGAAATATAAGAGGCGGTAGAGTTACCTTTGATCCTGACCGCATAGTGATGGCTGGTGGAGCCACCGGAGCTAATGAGCTGTTAATGTTTTGTTTGGCTGATCCTGGAGATGTATTTTTGGTCCCAACGCCTTATTATCCAGCGTAAGTACATAAAATCAATTATCAAAAATTCAATTTAAGGAAGGAATTGAGTTTAGACTGCAAGCAGCAATTTTTGTGTAGAGTTGAATATTTTGGGTTACTACTTGAGGATAGCTCGATACCACAATATTTATGAGTTGCTACGGCAAAGATAAAACTATATTTCGAGGTTTGTATAAGTTGCTAATGTAGAGCGTAAATGAAGAAAAGTATTTCAATTTTATGTTTCTTCAACAAATTTGTGTACATGCAGTCCCATTCATAGAGGAATTGAGTACATAGAAAATACCAAACATTAAATTGAGAACTGTATAATCTAGGATTTGACTACCTGATATTGGAAGAGACCAATTGAGAAACAAAACAAATTACATAATTCAAAGAGTCTTTGACTCAAAACTAAAATTTTGATTTTGACTAGATTAATTAGTGCATTAACAATCCCTCGACCAAGGCTTGACCATATTCATAAAACTTACTTGTTTCTTGTTTCTACTTTATATTGCTCGCTTATATAGAGATTGGGACATAATTGTGCTTACAAGTTAGACATTTGATGGTTACAGATTTGATAGGGACTTGAGCTGGAGAACTGGGGTGAAACTACTACCTATTGCCAGTGAAAGCTCGAACAATTTTCAAATTACGATACAAGCACTTGAAGAGGCATATGAGAGTGCCCGAAAAGCTAACATCAAAGTGAAAGGCCTTATCATAGCAAATCCGTCAAATCCATTAGGCACCACTATGGACAGAGACACACTACGAAGCCTGGTAAAGTTTATAAATAAAAAGGAAATTCATCTGGTGTGTGATGAAATATATGCAGCCACAATATTTCGAGCTCCAGATTTTGTAAGTATTTCGGAAATTATAGAAGAAGTGGAGTGCAATCTTGATTTAATTCACATTGTCTATAGTTTGTCGAAGGACATGGGGATTCCAGGTTTCAGGGTGGGGACAGTGTACTCGTACAATGATACAGTTGTGACTTGTGGGCGAAAAATGTCGAGCTTTGGATTAGTCTCCTCCCAAACACAATATTTGCTAGCATCAATGTTGGCCGATGAGGAATTCATCAGAATTTTTTTAACAGAAAGCTCGAAAAGGCTTGGAAACAGGCACAAAAGCTTTACCACTGGACTTGAAGAAGTTGGAATAAAATGCTTAGAAAGTAATGCTGGCCTTTTTTGTTGGATGGATTTGCGTCCATTGCTCAAAGAACCTACATTTGAAGGTGAAATGACACTATGGCGAGTAATAATAAACGACGTGAAGCTCAATGTCTCTCCAGGATCATCATTTCATTGTAACGAGCCCGGGTGGTTTAGGGTTTGCATTGCTAATATGGATGATGAGACAATGGAAATTTCTCTTCGAAGAATTCGAATGTTTGTGGGCAAAATTAAGGAACCTGATTCACAAGTAAAGAAAAAGCGATGGCATAAGAATCTCACGCTTACCTCTCCTTCGAGAATATACTATGAAAATAACTTGTCACCTCGTATGATGTCCCCTCACTCTCCGATCCCTCGCTCACCACTTGTTTGTTCCAGCACATGAATTTCTAATAGGATTCATAACAATTTCTTCTTCAATCTATATTTGAAGGTTATTAATGTGCTTATATTTTTTCGTAACAGAAAAGACTGTAACTTTTGATGTTAACTCATGTTGGCATTGTAGGAACTTCTTAAAGAGGTACCAATTGTTGTACCGAATATAATTCTTAATCTATATGTATGTGTGTGAGAGAGAGAGAGAGAAAAAAAAAGTTACGTATACTTTAATACCAAAATATGTGGTATTCAATCGTAATAAATATTGTATAAAGCTTATATTTTATAATTACAGGCACAACATGAGACGACGCCTAGTACTTTTTTCTTTTCTTTTGTTTATATTTATTTTCTGCATTTAGTTTTTAAAACTAGAAAGGCTCTTTTAAGAGACGTGTTTTCATATTAATTATACGCGTTTTACCATTGAATAAGAATAGATGCTTCATTTAAATTTTATTACTCGATCAGTTGCTGCAGCAGAACTCATAACATAATTTACTCTGATTTACTTCGATTCTTCACCCTAAACGGATTGAAAGAAATCCAATTATGAAGGAAATTTAAAAATACTAATTGCAAACAAGAGAAAAATTAATCGATGCATCTATAGGTACATGAACTAGAGAAATCTCAAGATAGTGAAAATCGGCCTACATGTGATAATACAACGTCTTGGAACTTCTAGATGAGGTTCAAAATATTTTGCATGCTGAATGTCATATGGAAAATCGAACGCTCATCTGTCAACAGGCATTTGAAGAGATATACATCTAATCGTTGCCCTCTTTTGTTGTCAATTGAAAAATTAGGACAAACTCTATCCCTTTATTTCAGAAAATTGTTCCACTCCTATAATACAACAGGGGCTCATCGGATTCTGGCGGTACTGTTGGGAACAAACTGGGCATTGAGGCTGCACTGTATCCAGTAATATTTGCTGTATGGTAAAACGACTTAAGAATAATTGGCTGAAAGTTTTCATCTATTAATGAAGAAGAACTCTGCGTATATACACAGACATACATACAAGGCCAACCCAGCTTTTAGGGTTTTCTAATAACAGTAGACTCCTAATGACTTTGGTATGTTTACCATAATAAACTACAACAATTATAGTACAGCAATGATTCTGGAATATATGCAGATTACAGAATATACATATACTAAAATAGATCAATTAAAATAGGTAAGAGAATTATGTTCCAATACGTCCCCTCAAGATGGAGGACGGATGGACGCCAATCTTGGACCGAATGCTGGAGAGTTTGGAACCGGGGATCGGCTTTGTTAAGCTGTCAGCTAACTGATCAGAGCCAGATACATGAGAGACACGAAGGTGCCGGTTTGAACTTTTTCGAGAACAAAGTGAAAGTGAAGGGCAATGTGTTTCATCCGAGAGTGAAATACTGGATTAGCACACAAATACGTGGCTCCAACATTGTCAGAGTAGATAACGGGAGTAATAGGCAATGTGTAGCCAATCTCATGAAGGAGAGCCTGAAGCCAGGTGATTTCCGCAGTCGTAGCAGCTATGGAACGATATTCAGCCTCCGTGGACGAGCAACAGTGCTATGCTTTTAAAACTCCAGGAGATCGGATTAGAGCCAATAAAAACAATATAAGCACTAGTAGAGGTTCTGTCTGAGATATTGCAACCCCAATCAGCGTCAGAAAATGCGTGAAGAGAGAATGGGGAATCCTTATGAAGTAGAAGACCACGATCAAGAGTCCCATGCAAATACCGTAATACACGTTTAAGCTCAGACCAGTGAACGGATGTAGGAGAGAGCATGAATTGTGAAAGTTTGTTCACAGCAAAGGCCACATCCGGGCGTGTCAATGCCAAGTATTGTAAGGCACCGAGTACAGAGCGGTAATCAGATGGATTGGCCATCGGTTCGCCCTCATGTAGAGCAGGGACATGTGAGGTTGGCATTGGACTAACAGTTGGCTTAGATGATGACATACCTGTTCGGTCTAGTAGATCAAGAATATACTTGCGTTGTGAGAGAAAAAGACCGTGTGTGCCAGGAATAACTTCCATGCCAAAAAAATAAGAGAGAGCCCAAATCCTTAATGGAAAACCTGTCAGCAAGTTTTTGAATACAAATGGCGATAGTAGTAGAGGAGTTACCAATTAGTATAATATCATCAACGTAGACAAGGAGAAAGAGTACCGTAGACCGTTGGCGGAGAAAAAATAAGGACGCGTCGGCTCTGGAATTTTGGAAACCAATACTGACAAGGAACTGCTTGAGTTCAGAGTACCAGGCCCGAGGAGCCTGTTTGAGGCCATAAAGGGACCGTTGTAGATGACAGACGTAATCTGGAAATCGTTGATTGACAAACCCGAGGGTTGTTGCATATAGACATTCTCAGATAATGATCCATGTAAGAAGGCATTATTAACGTCAAGTTGTTTGAGATGCCAGCCATGCATAACAGAGAGGGAAAGGATCAGACGAATAGTAGAAGGTTTTACAACCGGACTGAAAGTATCACAATAGTCCAGTCCGGGGCGTTGAAGAAAACCTTTTGCGGTAAGGCGCGCCTTATATTTATCAAGAGACCCATCCGCTTTCCATTTAATACGAAAGATCCATTTGCAACCAATAATATTTTGAGAGGAGTCACGAGGCACAAGAGTCCGTGTGCCATTGTTAATAAGGGCGTTATACTCATCACACATGGCGTAACGCCAGTTCTGATCTTTCAGGGCTTGGATCGCAGTGGTTGGTTATCGAGGGAGGTGGCAAGGTGTAGTAGACGCATGGTGAGCGGTTTTACTTCGAGTAAGCATATGGTGGAGGGATTGGGAGCATGGAGGGGGGTGGTGCGGTGGGCTGAGTGGGAGGGGAAGGTGGTGTAGTGGAATTGTCGAGTGCTGTGGAGAGAGATAGAGGGCTGGGGTGGTTGGACAGCTTAGGAATGGACGGTGGAGGTGAGTGGAGGAGTTGTGCAAGGCGTCGAGTGGGCCTCATATGTTCTGGGGTGTTGGGTGACGATGTAAGATGGGCAGAGGAAAGGGGTTGTGTCGTCGAGGAAGGACTATGGATTGGGGTGTCAGTGTGGGCGATGCTGGGAGCTGTAGTGGTGGAGGGAAGTGTGGAGCTAGGCGAAGAGTTAGGGCCACTGGCTGGGGATGGTGAAAATGGAAGCGTGGGTGGGTTGGTTGGGATCTTAGGGCTGGATACTGGGGAGGCCGAAGTAGAAGCAACGGGGACGGAGTCCAAACCAGCAGTTGCAGTGGTAGAGGGCTGAGTACGCACACCATTATGGAAGTCATCGGAACTAGTGACCATGGGTGGAGATGAAAAGAATGGGGAACCGACTTCTATATTTGTAGAGGGAGAGGGCGATGTAGTAAACGGGAAAACATGTTCGACAAATTGGACGTGACGGCTTGTATACACACGGCCAATGGGAATATCGAGGCAGTAGTAGGCACTATGTAAGAGACTATAACCAAGAAGAACACATGGCTTGGAGCGAGACTCAAGTTTGTGAGAGTTATACGGGCGTAGCCAGGGATAGCAGATGCACCCAAACACCCCGTAGTTTGGAAAAATTGGGGGGAGAGTGGTGGAGTTTTTCATATGAGGTGAGATAGTTAAGGTTGATTTTAGGAAGTCGGTTAATCAGATATGTAGCTGTGGTGAATGCATAAGGCCAAAAATGCGTGGGAATGGAGGCGTGTTGAAGGAGTGCTAAACCAGTTTCCACAATATGGCGATATCTCCGTTCAGCATAGCCACTGTGTTCCGGTGTATAAGGAGGAGTGTTGAGATGAATGATACCATTTTTCGAGAGATAAGAGGTGAGAGCAATATAGTCACCACCATTGTCCGTAAATAACATGATAAGGGAGGCATTAAAATTTTTTTCGACAAGTCCACGAAAGCGAATAAAGGTATCACGAACATCCGATTTTTTCTTTAAGGGGTAGAGCCAAACATATTTAGTGAAATGGTCAATAAACACAACATAGTATTTGTATCCTTCGGTGGATATGATGGGAGATGTCCATAGATCAGAGAAAATAACGTGTAATGCAGCAGAACTGGACACTGTAGAATTGGAAAATGGCAATTTGTGACTTTTATTACAGCCGCATGAATTACAATTAGATAACGAATGTTTGAACGAAGATAAAGATAAAATTTTGCGAGACACTAAATGACGTAAAATTTTGAGGTTGGGATGTCCTAAGCGGAGATGCCAAGTGTCCAGGTCGGTGGAGATAGATGAAAAGGCGGTCACAGGTGATGACAAAGTGAATGGGAGTGTGTACACGCCGTCTTTAACTGGTAAGCGCAGGATTGGAGTTCCGGTCTGCAAGTTTTTCACAATAAAGCAGGTGGGTAAAAATTCAATACTAGCATTATTTTGGGAGCAGAATTGAGCAACAGAAATTAAATTTCGAGCTATGTGTGGAACACAAAGAATATTAGAGAGTAGAAATTTAGAATCATGAAATTGAATATGAGAGTGACCAATGTGCGTGATGTGTAATCCGTTACCGTCACCAATTTGAACATCGTCGGGCCCAGAGTAGTTGGAGTGGAGCGAGAGATTGCCAAGATCATTGGTGATGTGATGGGATGCTCCAAAGTCGAGAAGCCACTCTTGAGTTGGTGGGGCAGTAGAGTGGGCGGCCAGATGTGCTTGATATTGTCGCGGCCGTATGGTAGGATTTGGGGTAGAGGTGACTGGTGAATAACAATAGGCAGTGCAGCGTTTAGCTGAATGACCATGTTCCCCACAAAGTTGGCACTTGCCAAGGTACGGTCGAGGCGTAAAATTGGTGTTATTGTTGCTACGAGGTTGGAGATTGTTTGGGAAGGGACGTTGCTGGTGAGTATAGAGGGGGTCGAAAGCCGCTGGAATGAGGGTGGTTTGGTCGTGTGGCAGAGTGATTTTGAGCTGCGAGATTGGCCGTGAATGGTTGGAAAGGAGAGGAGGAGGCTGATGATTGGAGTTGGGATTCTCTGGTAACAAGTT